ATATTTTCAAAAACCGAGTATAAACTATTCGTTAATACTGACAATACTGAGGATGGATAATTCTTTTGATCAGCACCATTGTTTTATATAGTTTGGTCATTTCTACTTTCATTTAACTTTGAAATGTTAATTAAACAATTAATTTAAACAAAACGAAAAAATGTTTACTCTGTAATATTTGAGAAAAACATGAAGAGTAATTAAAAAAATATTCATAGATAATGCCAGGCTTCGGGTAATTTCAGTTAGGTTCATAATATAATATAACTTTGTTAGAATAAAATATATAAAGGTTTAAGAGACGAAAGCAGTTCCGAAGGCAACGAAATAACAGTAGACCGATAACCGCAAATGAGAATGGCAGAGAAAGCTACGTTGTTCCATGCTTCCCTGGTGATCGATGTGACCAATTCTGCGGACCACATTTGTTTCATTTGAAGTTGTTGTTCTAAACTTTTCTGTTAATTGAAATGAAGAAATTGGAGTATTTGTTGCGCTTATCTTGCGATACTAAACAATTGGAGCTCTACTAAAACTTACGTTCAGTTTCGTTATAAGTACACCGGGAAGTCTAAGTAGTTATGTTGTCAAAGAAACGTGCTCGTTAATCTGCTTTAAATGCTTAAATAAGCTTCAAGTAACTTGCCAACTTTGAGATGTATAAAACAGATCAATCAATTCAGATGAAAAATATGCTTTTGCACTGAACGACAATATTATCACTGTTCTAAATATTAATTTGATCAAAAGAATTGAATATTACCGAAAAAACATAAAATGCTAATCAAAAGGACAAGATGACGAATTTTACACCTTAATTTCCAAATTACATCCCTTATAAATTCTTCCTTTAAACATAAACGCAATCATTCAACCTCAAGCCAATCACCATCACTCATCTTGTTTACCAATACCCACAAAATCAAACTTTGCGAACTACTTTATAAATCTATCAAATCGAAATGCTTCAATGTTATACAAATTATACGCACAGTGTAATAAAATCATCCAAACAAGCACGTTTACTTCGAAATAAATCGTCAGAAAGGGGATTAATGCATTGGTATCTTGCTTTTTCCTTCGTAGCCCAGAAGATTACATTAAAGTAATAATCCCGAATTACGTCTTTCTTCGTGCACAGAAACAGCACTCTTATCGAATTTCATTTGTAATTTATCCCAGTTGTTGAGTTTTTTTTGTTCCGGTCGATTCCGGGGAAGGCACACGCTCTCGCCGTGCACCAATGTCAATGCACACGGTGTGTGCAACTATGGATGTAGGGGTGCGCTGGTGTACACATGTGCACGCTGCACTGTGTTGTGTCACTAATATTCAGTCAGTACGTATCGGGCCCGTCGTGTTTCTTCGTAAATTTAACGATTTTACCGGCAGACGTGGCTACGTCCTGAAATGATGTACGGTTCGCTCGTATGACTCGGTAGCTAATGCTTTAATATGCGCAAAGGGTGCCATGCCCGTGTCACGCGGATTACCGCTAATTGTAGTTTATGCTTTATACTACGCTATTCTCTTGTATGCTATGTCGTCCGTTGGGTATTCGATATGTACGGACCTGTATGTTTACTTGTAGAGGCGAATGCAGGTCCCTCCGGATATATATCCACATAACAATTTGTATTTGCGAGAATGTGCACATTGTATACGTCTACAGTCCGTACAAGTTGCTCACTTCTAAGTACAGATGTTACCATTTTTTAGGGTAATGTTGAACACCGGGGAACGTTTATTAAGGGGCACGCTTGAAATTCATTATTACGACGGATTTAAATAGAATACCTTATTTGAAACATGCAGATTGTTCATAATGTGTGTTTAAAATTGCTAAAAGTTATAATAGTCATGGGGAAGGAAATGTTTAATGAATGTATATTACAGTATGCTTTTAGTGTAAAATCTACTTTTATATTTTGAGTTTCCTTGTCGTAATGCCTTAGAATAAAAATTCCTAATAGATTTAAATGAATTTGAAAAATTAGGGAAGATAGAGGCATTTAATAAGAAATTGTTTCTGAAAATGTATCCCGAAAGAAATAGCGATATTCTTTGTTGTTTGGGATAACGAATAACCGGTAATCAGAAAATTAAAACCCAACTACTTGTAGTTTTTTCTTGTTTTTATAGAACTAATGAACGTATTCGTTAGTTGGTTCATTTTTATCGCATTACATTGGCGCGTGATATTGATAATTTTAATTACGCTGATATTTCTTCATCGACAGTTCATAATTATTAAAATATCATTGCTAGTGCCGGAACTCGCTATACGAATGGAAGTAAAGGCATGCAGTAGTATAACTGTCTCGGATATTTAAGTGGGTTTATAACAGTAAAATCTGGAGAGTAATTTTACTTTTACTACCGTCATAACGGTGCAGCATTTAATTACACCGGACGTTTATATTTATTTTTAATAATACTTATGGAATGAGAATGCATTGTATTGTTTGTAGAACAGATTTACATTAAACAGAAATAAATCGATGTATTGTAAATACATTTTCACGCATCTGGAGATACGCAAGTAAAGGTAGAAAGAAAATGGAGAAGTTTGTAAATGTCATTGAAATATAAATCTTACTGATCATGCGTAAAATAATTAAATTTTCTTCTCATCTGCATATTATAATCATCATAACATAATATATCCGTTGTGCTACAAGATCGTTGTTTTCATCAATGTTTGTATATCAGAGAAGTTATGCTTATTATTATAAAACATACCAATATTTTATACTAAAAATTATATGATTGAGTATCACTTTTTTTAATAATTCTAACAGGCGCTTTGATGCTTATGAACGAGGGAATACGTTCACAAAAAAGCGGTAACGATGCTTATAAGTA